TCGGGGACTTTTGGGAGGCAGTTTTGAAACCTATTGGGCGCCGTTTTTGGGGCCTCTCGGGGCGTCTTGGGGGCCTTATAAAGGGGTTCTCTCGGGGGCTCTGGGAGGCCTATTGGGACCTCGAGTGGGTATCTTGGGGCGGAAGCCAGGAAGTAACCCTGTACCCCGGGATACTGAAAGTTCGGGGTCCTGTCAGGATGAGAGATTTTTCCCGGAGATGTCGGTGTTGGGATGCCTGGATGGGTCTTGAATGACCTCCAAGCTGATCTGCGGAGGAGGAGGAGGAAGAGGAAGAGTAAAAGGAGGAGTAAAAGGAGGAACAGAAAGAAGGGTAGGACAAGAAGAGAGGAAGAGGATGACGAGAAGAGGGAAGAGGAGGAGAAGGAGTTTTCAAGAGAAATCAGAGTTTCGGACCTATCAAATCATTATTGCAAAACTCAAGGATTATTGATGGTTTTCTACTCGTCGTGTAACATGGTCCCTCTCTGGGTGTGATACACAATGACGGCGATACAGAAGGAATCGACGTAAGATAATAAGTAAAGAAGCGCAGGGAAAGCACTAGGGCACCACATGGGGTCACGAACCGTGTGCGGGGTGTGCCAGAATGGGGGTCTACGGAAGGGTGATGATGATGATGATGATGATGATGATGATGATGATGATGATGATGATGATGATGATGATGATGATGATGATGATGATGATAACAGCGGATGCTGATGATGATAACAAAGGATAAGCATGTCTATCTGATTCAATGTGCGATTCGTAGTTTCCCTGGTGGTAATCAATTTCGGCCTCGCCGCTCCGCGCGCCTATCAAATATAAGCATCCCATAGATATCCATCGATCATGGGCTGCGAGGGGTGATGCTTTATTGTCGCGGGCATGCGGCATGTGGTTATCGGTTTGGGTTTCCTATCTGGGGCCTCTTTTGGCGCGTTTCTGGGGCTTTCTTTGGCCGTCTTGGGCGCCGATTGGGCGGTTTCGGGACTCTCGTGGGGCGTCTAAGGGCGGTGTTCAGGGGTCTCTGGGACCGTCTTGGGATCTTTGGTGGACATGCTAGAAATGTAGGTTCTTCCAACGAGATCGAATGGTTTTTGCCTCTCTGCGCCTTCTTGGGGGTGTTCTTGGAGGCCTCTTGTCGACTGGAGGCTACCTTGGGCGTCTGGTCCCGATCGTTCAGCGATTCTGAACGGCCTAAAAGGTCATGAGTTGTACATTTGACGTGTCCGAGGCCCCCGAACAAAGTGGAGCAAAGCGCAGCACAGGTGCATCAAGGGTTCCCACCACCCCTTCCCCGGCAGAGCCCCCCCGGCCCCCCCCCAGCAGAGCTGAAGCTCAGGCTCTAGGCTGTCGCTTCGGCTTTTTGAACCTCACGCGCCGGATCTGCGGATTACTATTCTCCTTCGTCTCCACCTGTTTTTCTCGAATAGTGTTATTATTCTTAATTCGTGTTCGCCTTCACCTGCGTATAAGCATTAGCATGGTCATGCATCCGTCTGCTGAGTTTTCGACTTCTTCTGTTTCTTCTGTTCCTCCTCCTCCGCCTGCACCAATCAGCGCACCGTTGGGCGCCGAGGGCGGCGGCGCGCGCGCTCGTGAGGCCTTCTTATCCTCCTCCTCTTCTTCCGCCTCCTCCTCGTCCTTCTGCGCCTCGGCCTCCGCCTCTGCCTCCGCCTCCACTCTTCCGTGTCCGTGTAGATCACTAATCCCTGTCGCCGGGTCGAAAGGGCGGGCAGGTCGTTACGCCTGAGAACTCTTCACCATGTGAGATCCTGAAGCTTACACCACACTCACATCTATACCCCTGGGTGGGTGTATGTGCGGCCGTTTTTGCGCTGTCATGTGCGCGCATGTGCGCGGCATGTGCCAGTCATGTGCCAGGCCTGTGCGGTCCTTCTTGGATGGACTTCCTACTGTGCACGTCGTGCCCGGGCATGTGCGGGGGCATGTGCGCTGTGTTTTGATGTATCCATCATACGCACATGCACGCACAGTCCGACGCACATGCGCGCACATGCCTGCACATGCGGGAGGTGTTCGAGAATCGCAGATCTGTCATCGGCACATGCACGCGCATGCCTGTGCAACCTCTCTTCGGGAGGCCGCGCGGGCCCGCACATGCACGCACATGCGGTGAAGCGCGCGGGCGCACATGCGTGCACATCCCAATGCACATTCACGCTCATGCCCTAGGAGCTGTCTGGGACCCCTGTGCCTCCAATGCTTCCTGGCTTTCGCAGAGCTAACCTGGGGCGTGCCAGGGCTTCCTGAAAGAGTTCGTTGTGCGTTTAGACTCGCCCGCTGCTGGCGGGGGCGGTTCTTCGCCCGGTTCGTGAGCTGGCGGTGGCGCTCCCGCCTAATAAAATACTCTCCCGCGCGCCTTCTCAGTTCGGCCGGAGAAACAGGGATGGGGGGGGGAGGTGGAAGGGGGGGGAGGAGGGGGGGGCGGAGGAGGCGGGCGCCCCCGGCTCGGCCGGCCCGCCTGCCTGTTCGGCTCGGCCAGAGGAGAAGGAGGAGGAGGAGGAGGAGGAGGAGGAGGAGGAGCAGGAGGAGGTGAGAGTTGCGAGGATGTCTCAGGCGAAAGTGGCTTGACGGCCCGAGCTCAGGGAATCTCGGAATCGCTGGCCTGGCTCGGCCACCGGCGAGCTCGGCCTGTGCGAATACTGTGCGTACCTGTGCAGTGCATGTGCGGGGCGTGCAAGAATGCCGGGGCCGGCGTTCGTCTCCGGACGCCGGCGCGTTCGCGTCCGGCCAGTTCCGCGTGAGAGGTCGTCGGCAATCTGGAGGCCGACGTGCTTTGACATGAAGTGATCTGGCCACCTTCGCCTGAGACATCCTCGCAACTCTGGTCTCGGAGATGCCCTGCCCCATGGTGGCCCGGCCACTTTCGCTTGAGACATCCTCGGGACTCTGGGTTTCGAGACGCCCTGAGCTGAGGTGGTTAGACCACTTTCGCCTGAGACATCCTCGCAACTCTGACCTCAGAGATCTCCTGCCCCATGCTGGTCAGGCCACGGTCGCCTGAGACATCCTCGCAAGTCTCGATTCCGATATGCCCCGAGCTGAGGTGGTCAGCCACTGTCGCCTGAGACATCCTCGCAACCCTGATCTCAATGATGCCCTGCTCGATAGTGTCTCGGCCCCTTTCGCCTGAGACATCCTCGGAACTCTGGGTTCCGAGACGCCCTGAGCTGAGGTGGTTAGATCACTTTCGCTTTAGACATCCTCGCCCGAGATGCCCTGAGTTGAGCTGTTCAGGCCACTTTTGCCTGAGACATCCTCGCAACTCTGACCTCAATGATGCCCTGCTCCATAGTGTCTCGGCCTTTTTCGCCTGAGACCCTCGCAACTCTGGGTTCTGAGATGCCCTGAGCAGGTGGTCAGGCCAGTCCTGCCTGAGACATCCTCGCAACTCTGGGCTCCGAGATGCCCTGGGCTGAGGTGGTCAGACCACTCTCCCCAGAGACATCCTCGCAACTCTGACCTCAGAGATCTCCTGCCCCATGGTGGTCAGGCCACTTTCGCTTGAGACATCCTCACAACTCAGACCTCGGAGGTGTCCTGCCCCATGGTCGTCTGGTCACCTTGACCAGCGACATCCTCGCCACTCTGGTTTCCAAGATGCCCTGCCCCATGGTGATCCGGCCACGCTTGCCTGAGACATCCTCGGAACTCTGGGTTGCGAAATGCCCCGAGCTCAGGTGGTCAGGCCACTATCGCCTGCGACATCTCTGCGGCATGTGCGGGCATGTGCGTCTATGCTTTCAGAGTTTTGCTTGACCGTGCATTCGACTGTGCGTCGGACGGTGTGGCATGTGCGCGCATGTGCGGCAATGCTGTTGAGACTTTTGTATATTTGTATGGGCATGTGCATGCGACTGTGCGGCATGTGCCTGCATGTGCGGCCCCTTCCGGACCACAATTTCAAAGTGAGCACTACAGAAGTGAGCGCTATAGAAGTGAGTCCGGTGTACAATGTGTAAGAGGTTCACGGATGGAGTGCGGGTCGATTTTAAAATGTGGCTCTCGCGTCAGCGCTGCGCACATCCGTCTCAATAGTTTGCAGGAGGTTCACGGATGCAGGGCGGGTCGCTGTCGAAGAAAGGTTCTCGCCTCAGCGCCGCGCACATGAGTTTTTTAAAGTGCAAGAGCTTTCTGGATGGAGGGCGGGCCGTTTTCAACATGTGGTTCTCGCCTCAGCGCCGCGCGCATCCGTGTTAAAAACCAGGAGAGTTTCACAGATGGAGGGCTGGCTGCTTTCAAAATGTAGCTCCCGCGATATCGCCGCACACAATCGTTTTAACATGTTGCACGAGCTTCGCGGATGGAGGCGATTCCTTTTCAACACGTGGTTCACGCTCTAGCTCCGTGCACCTACGTTTTAAGTTTGCAGCAGTTCCAAGGATTCTCATGGTTAACGTCACATCAATTGTGTTTTGGCACGATGTCGGCTTGTCAGGGCGCGACAGTTACGTTACTTCGTTGTGTTGACAAACCAAGAATGATGTTCTGGCGCGGTTCCGGATTGTCAAGACGCAACAGTAAGAGTGACTTGCGGCGTTGAAGTCCCAGGAATGGTGTTCTGGCACCTTTCAGGATTTACAAGCGATTGTTTTCCAACGCACTTCTTTCAGTGAAAATGAACCCTTGTATGGGCCTATGAAAAGGACACTTGTAGGGAGGGTTTATTGCAATATCGTTGATGAGTCTTCGATTTGCACGGTCGGCTACGCAGAAGGGAGGTATGACGAGGGGGAAAGGGGGAATTCTTAAAAGAACCCCTGCTTCTTAGAAGGCGCGGGACTTGTCTGTAGATGTGGGGCCGGCGCCTTCTAAGAAGCAGCCTCCTTCTAGGAAGCCTCCCCCCCCCTACCTTCTTGTGCGCGCGGCCAAGACTGGTCCTCCTCCTCCTCCTCCTCCTCCTCCTCCTCCTCCTCCTCCACGCGCCCTGTTGGTCGCCAAGGATGGCCGCGCGCGCACGCGCGCGCGAGGTGGCGGCGAACAAGCGCAGGGCGGATGGCGCGGCGGCGGACCAGGCGCAGGCGCCGCAGGAGCGCGCGCGTGTGTCTCGGGTCGGGCGAAAGGGGGGGTTTGGGAAAGGGGGGGGTACGAAATCTGCTGCATGCAGCTGGTTTCGGCCCAGCCGCCGGGCCCATTCCTCGATACATGGGCGCCTCCCGGCGCCGGGAGGCGCTGGGAAAATGAGCTACGTGAGCTGATTCTCCAACCCCCCCTTTGCCATCCCCCCTTTTCGCCCGGCCCTTTTTTTTTTTTTTATATTTATTACTTATTTTGGTTTTGTTTTTTTTTTTTTTTTTTATCTTTTTTCTTTATTTTTGTTTTTTTTATTTTTTTTTATTTTTTTTTTACGTGAGCTGATTCTCCAACCCCCCCTTTGCCATCCCCCCTTTTCGCCCGGCCCGAGTGTCCGCCCCTCCAGATTTCTGACGTCGGCGTCGTCGTCTCACGGTCGGGAATGTTCGGCTGCGGTCGAGACGCTGAGGGAAGGACCGTATTGGGCTCAGGAGGGGCCTTGATTCTCGGGCCGGTCCGAAGATCTGGGACAAGGAGCTTCTTCGTGGCCGAGGCTTGCCGTGGCCAGAAAGGCTCCTTCGCTCCGCACTCGGTGCCCAATGTGGTAGTAGGAAGTCGGGCCTTCTTCCAAAATCCCCCTGTAGGGGGACAGGCCCGACCTAATGGTAGCACGATGGCTGCAGCGTGTCGCGCTGCTGGTCCTGGCCCACCACGCTTCGGCGCGATACGCTGGCCACTACCCGGTCCCCAACTCAGGAGGGGAAAACACACGCAGACACAATTAATCGTCGACTCCCAGGAAAGTAAGGTAAAATATGGGAAGTGGGGGGGAAGACGAAAACCCAGAAACTATTGGAAAATATGGGGACTCCTGTTACTTGTGTGCACTTCTTTGTGTGTCCTTGGGCCCCTTCCCCAGCGTCAGCGTCCGGGCTTTTCCCAGCCTCCCGCCCAGCAGAGCGGAGTGACGCGATATCCGCCTGCAGGGAATGGCATGTCGTTGGGGCCGCCGCCGCGACACGCGACGCAACACACATTCCGGACCGTACCTGTGGGGGGGCGCTGGGCGGGCTGCTGCCCCTTCCCTCTGCAGCGGGAGAGAGAGAGAGAGAGAGAGAGAAAGAGAGAGAGAGAGGAGGACGAGGAGTGGATGGGGAAGGGCGAGAGGAGGGGATGGGGTAGGATGAGGAGGAGGTGGAGGAGGAAGAGGAGGCGGATGAGGAGGAGGAGAAGGAGGAGGACGGGGGGAAGGATGATGCTGCTGCTGCTGCTGCTGATGATGATGATGGTGGTGATGATGATGATGATGATGATGATGATGATGATGATGATGATGATGATGATTATGATTCTGATGATGCTGCTGCTGATGATGATGTTGATGATGATATTGTTGATGATGGTGGTGGTGATGCTGCTGCTGCTGATGATGATGGTGATGGTGATGATGATGACGATGCTGATGCTGATGCTGCTGCTGATGATGCTGACGATGAGGATGATGATGCTGATGATGAGGGTGATGATGATGATGATGCTGGTGACGGTTATGGTGATGCTGCTGATGATGTTGTTGATGCTGATGACGATGATGATGACAGTGACGTTGTTGTTGATGAGAATGATGATGTTGATACTGATGATGACGTTGCTGGTGATGCTGCTGCAGATGATACTGATGACGATTTTGATGATGGTGATGATGATGACGATGATACGTACGATGATGATGATGCTGATGATGATGATGATGATGATGATGATGATGATCACTGTGATGATGCTGATGCTGATGATGATGCTGATTATGATGATAGTGTGATGCTGCGCTGATGATAATGATGATGCTGCTCATGATGATTCTGATGATGATTATGTGACGAGACTGAGTAGATGGATGATGATGATGATGATGATGATGATGTATGATGATGAGGAGGAGTGAGGAGGAGGAGGAGGAGGAGGAGAGAAGGAGGAGGAGAGGAGGAGGAGGAAGGAACGAGGATGAGGATGAGGATGAGATGAGGAGGAGGAGGAGGAGGAGGAGGAGGAGGAGGAGGAGGAAGAGGACCATGCGGAAGAGGAAGAGGAGGGCGCAGGGAGGGGGTGAGTGGGAGGAGTTGGAAGGGTACGCAGGTGTGAGTGGAGATGCGGGAGAGGAGCAGGGCAGCGGAGGGATGGTGGAGGAACGAGAGGAGGTGATGAGATGGAGGAGGAGTAGGGGAAGGCGGCGGGAGGTGGCGGGAGTGAGGCGGAAGGAAAGAGGCGGTAGGCGCGAGGAAGGATGAGGAGGTGGGTGCAAGGATGAGAGGCCACGTCAGGGGGGGAACAGGGGAGAACAGTCTCAGAGGGGATGCATCGCCCTCCCGACCGCCCATTGATCGCTGATAGGGGCCCGATAGTCCACCTCGGCCCGGAGCGTGCGAGGTCGCTTTTGGGGGACTTGCGCCGATCTAT